TTTTGTTAGGAAAGATACTAAACAATATTTATTTATGTATTTATGTTTAAATCTAAAATAAAATTACAAATTATTTTTATTACGTACTTAAATAACTTAAGATTATTCACATAATATATCAGTATCACGTTCGCTATCATCGCCTGTTCTAATTATTATTTGTTCTATATTATTTGCAATATATATATATATATATATATATATATATATATATATATATATATATATATATATATATATATATATATATATATATACGATTGTTCTGCTTTTTCTATATGTTTAACAGAATTTGCCCAACTTTATGGAGGGATGTTAAAAACTTCAGTTTCTATAAGTTTGAGGACATTGGAGTTAACACGGGGAAAAACATTGTTACGACGAATGGCAGATATCAGTTAGTGCCAATGGGATTAAATATACAGTGGTGCGGTGGAAACGTTAAAACTGTAAGCCCTAGATTTTTATATATAATATATAATTATTACAGATGTATTCCTTTTGTAGGTTCAAGCTTTATAGAACGTCAATTAATTGCTTTTTGGTATAATCTTCGGGAAAATAAATGTGGTTATTATACATGTAGTTTTGAATGAGATTTGTATCACATGAGAAAGGGGTTTTAGTCAACTGTCTACTGTGATAACTTGCATTGTCCATTACAATGGAACTAGTTAGTTTTTAAACCAATTTTCAAATAAATCATCGGTGGTGTCTTCATCATAATCCAAAGAAGAATCATTAATATTTTTCGCAGACAGAGAAAGTCCATTTGGAATCCAACCATGTTTAGAGCCAGCATGCAAAATAGTTATTCTTTTACCTCTTTTTGATGACGTGTTTGTTGTCTGTAAATCCTATTTTTTTCTAAATATTCCAGTCGCCATTTCCGAATTCTAAAAGATTCCATTAAAACTTGCCTTTTGTCAATTTTTTTAGATCTAAAACATATGTGTTGAATACACTTCCTTAAAGTAGTTCTGTCACATTTAACACCGGTTTCATCTTTTTCAGGCCTCCTAATTAAAATATCTAATGTAGGCACGCTTTGTTCCTCGTATAACTGGTAAATTTTACATCGTATTATATCTTGATCACTTTTATCTACACTCGAGAAAATATCAGCATCGCTTCTTTTTTTCCTCGCTGAAATGGGATTATTCACAATTTTCCATACAGTTGATGATGAAATTTGCGTCAATGTGGCCGTTTCTTCTAAAGATGCTTGCTTGTTGGCACCACGTTCAATGAGAGTCAAATAAACATTGTTTATAACTTCCTTAGTCTCAATAGAATAGTGTTTTGTACATTTGGGCGGGAGCATCTCCAGAGATACACTAGACTCGCACATATTTTGCATAATTCGCACACGATTCAACACACGTTGTATTACACACGAAATAAGAATAAACTAACTAATAAACTTAAACTAAGTAGTATACCAAACCAAAGAATATTAAACACAGGTAGGTATAAAATTATTTTCTATTACGGATCATAATTTTATCTGAATTTAAATTCCGAAACTTTAGGTAATAATCTTGTTGCATTGTATGTTAATGACCATGATAATCCCATTCAAAAGCAATTGGTCACTTTCTTATATCTATGAACAGACCATACAATTGAGTCCTAAGAACTATTGAATAACAGTACTTCTGTTTTCTCTCTCTTTTTTTAAATAGTATCAGCGGGATTAAAGCAATAAACAAAACGAGGTTTTCTTGCATCTTTGAGAGAACCATCCAAAAAAAAATATTAAAATGGAACCATAAACAAAGATTTTACATGTATGTACAGTTCTGAAGTGGGGCTCACTGTATTTTATGGTGTGAAATATGTTGACGATAAATTTAACTCAATATGAACAAAATATCTTGCCAATATTTTGTTAAACATTACCGATAAAATAAAAAATAGTACTTTTTTGACAATTACGATATGGTTTGAAAGAAATGCCTTTTTTTAACATGACAGCATTACAACGGATAAAAGCCTACTCCAACCTAGGCGAGTTTTGACCTTGAGTTCACCTTGGTCTTTTGCTACGTCTGCTATTGCTAATTTTTTCTGAGATAAGTGAATTTTTGAAAGTGAAAAGGTTTTTTTGGATATTGCTGTTACAAAGATTGATAATAAAAGTACCGCAATATTGTGAATTTTGCAATCAACTTGGTGGTTTAAATTTCGAATTATCTGTAAAAGAGTGTCAATTTTGTTAAATTTAACTATTTATAATGTAATTATAAACATTTTAGCATGTGTCCCTCTCGGTAATTAATTTCTCCTACCTTACGTGGCATATTTAGGCAACACTCGTCCCTAAATGAATCACCAGCACTGCAATTTTATGAATGGTTTATGCGGTCTCTTTGTGCTGAACATATGTGGAAATGTATGGTTATATTTACTATTTATTTGAAGAAGTGGTATAGCCCTTACGATATTGTTATTATTATTATGCCCTATTAATTATTTTAGAAAATAGTAAAGGTCAAATTTTACACAGATGAAACTATGTAGTTTTTTTTTCAATGTGCTCTAGTTCGTTTAAACTAAAATATTTCGGCTTTCGTAAAATTCAATATTTATGGATTTAAGTCCTACCATTCCATTAACAAAACCGAACAATGTATGAGTTAGGTTAAAATTTAAAATTTTTAGGTATATTTTCTAAATAAAAGTTGGTTATAAGGAATTAAACACTTGAAATTTAGATTCAAAAGGTATTTCCAATATTTCATTTTCCTAGTTATGTAAGGACAATGGCCGTTTTTTTTAATATTATTTTTTAATGTCATTTAAAATGCCACTGTTCAAGATCCCATTATCCCCACTATATCGCTGGGATCCAGCAAAATACTATTCTTATTTTTAGTAAAGAATCGGAACACTCCAACTTATTACTTTCTTCATAAATTTGCAATTAATTTTTTTTTATTTTTAATTTTGGCAGATTATTTAACCGAGTGTGTTAGTATTCGTCGATAGTGTTCAATTTTCTTTATTACTTTATAAATATTATATTTGGAAATGAAAAAAACATTCTAGTATTTTAATGAAAATTAAAATATGACCTACAAATACTAATAGTTCCAATAGACTTATTGTTTAAGAGTGCCTTAAGAGTATCCAAATTTTAGTATCCAACATTTCAAGTTTAATGTTGAGTGATATTACAGGTTATTTTTTCATTTTCAATAAAATATTCGCTGTTTTATTTCGAATGCTAACTAAATATTACCTTATTGATAAAAAATGTGATCTGTTAAATAGGCTGTAATAATTAAAAAATGTATAAAAACTGAAACACATACAAAACCTTACATTGGCAAATCGATTTACTTATTTGGTCATTTGCGTCATAGATGGTAAACATAGGAATATATATAATAGGTTGTTCGGAAAAATGTGGGGGAAACTCTGAAATTAAAACAAAACACAAAATGTGCTATGGAGCCCTTACAATAGTATCAGTGAAACATATTAGCTTTTTACTTTATAAGGGGTGGATTAAACGCATTTGTACGACAAAATATTTTTTGATAGCTCGAAAATTTAATTTTAAAAAAATGTAAACGTGTATAATGAATTTTTAAAACATTAATTAATAATTTTAAATAAAAAAAACATTTTTTTTATTTCTAGGAATAAACACTGTTTTTAAACATGATTTACATTTGGCAGCTGAATTATATTCAATAAAGAAACAATTTGTTAAGATTTTAAGGGGTTCATTTCTGCCCTAAATTTTCCTGAACACCTGGTGTGAATGTAGGATATATTTTTGCTTACGTAGGCAATTTTCAAATTCATCGGATCTAGAAATCAATATAAGCACACAGCAAATGTAGACGTAATTTTAACTAAAAAAATGCTATAAGCAAATGACGAAAGTAATATTGCAGTGGAGGCTGACATTGATCAGGATTTTGCTGTCAAAATATACTGACAAAGACGAACTTAAAAATGTAGTTTAATTTTATTAAATAGTTCTAAACAAAAATACATTTTAAAAACCCAATGAGGTTGCAATACACATTGTCAAAAAAAAAACAATAATAGGTGATTGAATAATCAAATTATTTTATTAATGGAAACATATAAATGTTCCCTTCAATTCGCTTATATTCTGAAATGATAAGTATCAAACATAAACGGGCTATTATATATATCTACCAGGGGTCTGGAAATATTTGGCTCTAATAACGCGCAACTAAAGAAAAGGACGCGGACGTTCTTTTTTTCGACCGTTCCATTTTCTCGAACATTAACACGTTTATCGATTTGAGGTCTGCTGATATTTCCTTAAATAAATAATCTTAGATTTTATTGTCTCGCGTCCTACATGTGAGAAAAATCGGAAAGGCGGAAAAGTTCTAGGTGAATCGATACATTAACTCGGAGAAAACTTGGCCGGTGTTCTCTTTTTCAGGTTAAAAATTTACCCAAAAAAAAGAAAGTGTAATTCGTTGAGTGGAAGTTTGTTGACATTTTCCAAGAACAAAATCAAAAAATCCTTGAAATTTAAAGATTAATTTTCGAGATACTCTAAAAACTATTATACATTTCGATGTTCTTTTGCGATATCCAGTTCGGTTAAAGCAATATCAATGGTATTTAATTAAACCAGTTCAAAAATCGGTCCGCATATTTGATGTCATTAATTTAATTTATCCCACAAAACAACGTAAAATTGATTTTCGTTTCTTTGTTGAAATATTTGTCATAACGCCCGACGTGTTATGGGCAAAACAGATTGGAGTAAAATATCGATCATGTATCAAGAATTTAGTTAACACCCACATAAACCGCGTTCGTACTTCATTCACAATGGGCGCAATTTTGTTAATTATCTCGGAAAAATCAATTTTCAAACAAATTAACGACACGTTGCCGTGTTCACCGGGGTTTAGGGAGTCATTAACTTACGTCGAATCGATATCGTGTTCGTATTCGTAAAAAATAAAGTCGATACGTAAACTTATTTATTTGTTTACCTGACGCCGCGTTCATTATTGGCCTCTGTTGAATGTCTGAAACAAAAAAAAATGTTAGTAATCTAATTAGCGATTTGCAAGTTTTCGCTGAACATTTCAAGCCGAAACTTGCAAAACATGCGAGCCTATTTCACAAAACTAAAGGCAAAACACAACTTGCATATGAAATCGCTAAGCTTTTACTTACGACGTTAAAACAATACCCATGGAGGATTCGTTTATTTTCGAAAAGCTGGAAGACATCAGTTTGACACTATGTAATAATTCCAATCTCCTAAACAATTTTCTTTTAACTTAGTTATTAAACTATAAATTCTCAAGACAAGGGTGGCACCCCGCTTTTTTTCAAAATTCTACTTTTTTTTAAAGGCGCAAACCAATATTATTATCAAGTTTTTCTTTTCGGGACAGTCAGATAATTAAATGAAATGAAATATCTCTATATCGGAAACACGACTTCCCTTTGTAAATGTTGTTCTGTCATGTAACTAAATTTTAATTTTGAAGATTATGTGACTAGAAAACTAAGTCTTAAAAAATATTTATTTTTTAATAACTTCTTACTTAAACATTTTTTTTATACGTCAGAGTAATTAATCATTTTTCTCTAAGGTGTCTTATTTGGTAATTAATAGTTTAAATGATTTGGATCGAATTTTATACCGAAATATATAGGGTACTGTGGATTGCGTGAACCAAATAAACCAATTAACGATAATTTTTTTTACCTCAACCCCGAATATGAGGTAATTAGCATAAATACCGAGAAAATTGTTCCTTGAACAAATCGATCCCTTTGTGGCAACGCAATTCATGGACTTTACTATGGGGCGAGAGCGATAACTATCTTTTAGAGCAGTAAAATTGCACGGCGATATAACCCCCATGTTCAATGCTTTAATCTAGATATTGAGGTTTTTTGAAAGTGACGTTCGGGCTTGTGCCTCGCGCTGCTGGCATTTTGTGTGTATTTGTGTGTATGCGCCAGAGACCGTAATGAAAACAACCCCCTCATGCCCGGGCGTCATGAGCATGAGGTTAATAAACGGGAAGATGAATTATTATATGGCGCAAAAGAGGGTATATTTTACATAGAGGTATCTCCTCACAGTTATTTGCCTAATATATGTGTGGAGCCAACGTCAGGGACTACCGTAATTATTCTAGTCATTAAGTTTCACAGGCATAAAAGACCAAGGGCCGATATTTGCCGAAAATGCTAACGCTTGCAAGAAAATCGGGTTTGCATATTTAATACGTTTGTTCCCTACGTTTTTATTTCTCTTTTGCTCCAGTCGAATTAAGCAAGGAAGTAAATGCATGCATGCTATAGGACGGAATATGGATAAATTGTAATGTTGAAATACAATACAATTATTACAATAACCTGAATAATAGCGAAAAAATTATTGAATACTGCTTAACCCCAAACCACACATCTGCCACCACTTTATGAGATTTTTTTAATTACGCTTTTTTTGGCCACTGCTGCTAAGGCAGGAGGTTCTTAAGAAAACATTCTTCTTAAATAACCTATTTAATCTCGATTATATTGATTTTTGCATTTTTTTCTTAAAAACAAAACCCATCTTGCTAGGGAAATTGATTTTGTACAATTAATATTGAATGTTCTCCCTCTTAAGTTATAGACAACTATATTTTGTAAATGTTAACACCTATACTCGACAGATCGACTGAGAATAAAAATAACAACTCATAATCTAAAAATACCAGCTTCGGCGTTGGTAGTTGCTCGTTGATCGTAAGCAACTTCGTGTTATACTCCATATCAATATTTTAAAAAACCTATTTAGCACTTAATCGAAATATGCGAAAACTTTATTATCGCTTTAATTCCTTTAGGAAATTGACACTCCTTATAGGTTTAAACTTAAAAGACTTAAAGTTAACTAAAACGGTATTACATTTTTTATATTTGATTTGAACCAATTTTGTTAACGCGCAGATAAAAGAATTCAATTTTCAGACAAATTTTGATGGAAAACATTTAAATTCGGGCACAAATTTTTGAAACAGTTTGCGGCGGGGAAGGACAGTCATTAATAATAAGAGAGCTTTAATACCCTTGGCGACAGGGGTATTTAGCATAGTCGAATTTGGAGGGCTGAGAATCACTGCCACGTTTCAAATAATTTAAATAATGCTCCGTAAATTATAAAGCAATGTCCGATGTCCTTTGTTATAGTCTGTCTCAACATCTCTGAGTTCAAATCCGTTTAAAGCTTGCCAAGAGCATACAACAGATGTACGTTCTACAATATGCACAAAACATATCGAATTTTATTAATAATTATTAAATATTGTAAATAAATTTTTAAATAAATTAAATAGACTGACATGTAAGGTGTAAGGTATTTTAGTTAATTTATGGATTTGTAAACGAACTCAAGACATCACTTTGAAGGCGGAAAAAGATTTGAAATTTTTATTTAATATGATTATAATTTTTATTTAATTTAATAATATAATATATAATAATATATATTATTAGCAGGTTCTAAAAACAAGAAGTTTATTACTAGCAACGAGGTTGCCAGATCTAGGAAAAATCGCAAAAAGCATATTAAAAGTAATTGTTTTTTTTTGTTTAACACAGAGAGATTTGAATTTTGCCAAAAGGTCTGTGCCGAATTTGATTTCGAAATTCAATTAAAACGGCGGGTTACAATTATGCAATTTCGCCTAATGCAGTCGCTAAGTATTAATTGGCAAACTTAGAGCGTTATTGTAAAAGGCGAACCATGTATATGTCTCTATATGGACAGTATTGGCAATTTGTACATATACAGGGCTAAAACAAGGTCTCGACGCTAACTTCAGTAAACTGCATAATTACTAGGTTATTTACTTACGACTTTGTTTAACTCTATTGCGTTGATTACGCTATCTTGCCGTACAAATTAATTTACCAACTTTCACGAACTTAGCCGTTTTGAAGTTTAATTATTCCATTGTGTTTCGTATTTCCATGCATCTTTTTCTCGATCTCAACATAATTTACTCCTTCTAAACATCTGCAAATTACTTCTTGAGACTTAACCATTTTTCAAACCCATCGGATACTTGGACAATCAATTTTAAAAATAATCGAGCCATCAACTTGCAAATTTCAACATTTCGAATTCGCTATATTATTTTCAAATTTGCGGGGTACCACAACAAACCGCATCTGTGCGACGGCGTCCAAAATACTGACAGATTTTAATTTAAATTTTGGGACCAATTTCGACGTTGCGAACCTGTTTATGCGCCTTTTTTTTTGTCAGCGGATGTTCGTAATTGAATTTTGCGCGATTCTCTCATGTTAATAATATTCGAAAACTTAATTCAAACCACACGCGTTCGCATTAGCTGCCAAAGTTATCAAATTATCTCGACATTGCGTGAAATACGTAGTTCACTAGAGGGCAAATCTGCCTAAACCAAAATATTGCTTCAGATACGAAACTTAACCTTCGTATATAACAAACTTCGCTAATATTTAAGCAGAACAATTACCACATTGCCAAAATCCCCAAATCCTAATAACATTTCTAGATGCCAGCTGAAGCTCAGGCAATTTCTAAAGTTCTCAGACTATATACTACACCAACCGAATTATGTTTAATATCTAAAACAATCAACTTGTTTATAGCCGAATAATGGAGTAAGGGAAATTAACTGAAAAATAAAATCAAATCAAATAGAATAAATACTAAATTAAAAACTTTAAAACAAATTTGTAGTCAATAATGAGTTAAAAAATATAGTTGATTCCTCTGAGAAACGTTTAGCATCCGAACAAACAAATAACGCTTTCAAAATATGTCAAAGCTGATGTCGATTAATTTAGAATAATTTTTTCTGTATCAAAATTCATTTAGACATTTTTTGACATCATCGATAGTGGATTTGAACTGACTTCTTCTGATTAGAAGTTAATACCCAACGTATTTATATTTTTCTACGTGATGGAAATTTTTAAACAAAAATTTTGTAAAATAGAGATACTACATTGGAGATCTACAAGACAATTTTTTTTATTGTATCCACTTATTTATTGAATTAAATGAATAATAACAGGCACGAGAAAAATAATTGGCAATACACAACTAACTAAAATTAGAATAAATAAGAACTAAAAGTTCAGATGTTCACGATATTATGTATTTTTACATGAAAATTGTTTCGACAACACCATGTCTTTATCAAATATAATATTTACAAACTACCTGCTACTATATATACCGAAAAATAACCATAAATCCTTAATTAATGTCGTAGTGAGAATTACAGAATTAAAGTTAATTGACCGTTTGGGTTAGTTTGAATTTGAATGTTTCATTTTGTTAATCTCCATGGCTTCCAATAAATTTAATTTTTCACTTTTTGTGGCTCTATGTAAAATATCAAAATGGTCGTCGAAAATGTGTTTTTCTGTTTTTAAGTTTGTAGCATAATTGGAATCTAGACTATTGTTTTTAAACGCTCTTTTATGTTTGTTAATGCGTTTTTTGAAGGATCTACCTGTTTGTCCAATATAAATTTTAGAACAAGATCCGCATTTCAACCTGTAGACACCTGATTTTTGAGATTTTGGACATTTCGTTTTATTGTTTTTTAAAAATTTTCTTATTGGGTTGGTAGCTCTGAAAGCTATTTTTAAACCACATTTTGACAAATGTTTTGAAACTTTTTCACTAGCTTCTCCTATGTATGTAATTGTTTTAAATTGTTCGTGTTCTGTATTAGGTTTCCAATAAATAGAGTTTACTGTTGTCTGGATTTGCTTTTTATTTTTAATTTTATCTATATTGGACGGATTGTAGCCGTCGTTCAGAGCAATTTGTTTAATGATATTAAGTTCTTTATTGGAATTTTCTGTTGAGAGTGGCGTATTAAGAATTCTGTGTATAAAAGAGTGAAATGCAGCCATTTTGTGTGTATAAGGGTTACTTGAACTATTATGTATGACTGTGTCCGTATGTGAAGGTTTATGATAAATGGAAAATCTAATTTGTTTTGCGTTTTCGTAA